TTGTAAGTAATCTGCCCTATTGTTTATGAATAAAGTTAAATACATTAAGCAAGCCTGGCCGGTACTAATGGCTAATCGAAGCTTGATTAGCTTGCTTTGTGATTTATTAGTTGCTCTTGGTTTCATGATCATGCCAGCAAAGATCACGCATGTAAAATGTTGAAGCAATCTGTAAAGTCATTGTTCCAAATGCTGAGCTGTGATGAAGCAAGCATTGAGAAGACAAGTTTACACTATATTGATTTTGAATACATTTGCAATGAAATGAAAAATACAGAGGGATACATGAATGTGCTTCGGGTGTTTTAGTATGCACCTTCAAAAACCGCTCGCATAAAACCGGAATGGCCCAGGCTAGAAATGTGGACGACTAGTCAACCAAACGTCAAACAGTTGCTGCCCATGCTAGTCAGCTCACAAAATACTGGTGGGTTAAACATCTTATTCTTATTTTAGTAATGCACTAAACGGTTAATGGTTCAGAGATATTACGACACCCCCAGTCACTGTCTGCGGCTGCAGTCCAACAGACGTCAGCAACATTTAAAACACGATCTGAGTAATGAGGGTTAATTAAGCTCCTAGGATCACGTGTAGTATTTTGGGGATTTCTGTCTTTTAGACTAGGTGTCTAGTCTAACTTTATTTTCTCTTGTTTAAATGACTTGCAGATTATACACTGGGCTCAGTGAATGTGATTCTAGTCCATGCTGGGGAATGTAGTGGTGGATACAGCAAGGTTTATGCTTTTCTAGACTGTGTTGTTACACATTCAGCAGTATGAGCATGTAAGTGAAATATTTAGTCTTCGAATTAGAACAAAGACTCTCCTCGCTTTTTAAAAACTAGCACAAGACGTGCAATATAAAAAGCTTGTTTCTTAGTTTAGGACCAGTGAAGTGTTAAGAGTAAAAAAACAACACAGCAGTTGTTGTGGCTTTTTAAAAACCACATGACTCATAGTGTGACAACTGGCCATACAATGGTAGTCTTTGCATTTTCTTTTTTAAACTGTGTGGCATACTGTACGCAGCCCTGCCACACTATTTATGTGGTGTGTTTACAAGTACAACAGAGGGGTGGTAATGTGTTTTATGTGTCACCAACATTGTTGCTAAGAGGCCTTTAAAGTCTTTTAATAAGCGATAAAGTTCAGTAGACATCGCTTTGTCTCATAAATCAGTATTATATACTTAAAAACTGCAGATTCAGACAGTAGATGAGGTTAAATTTGATGCCAACCAGCACTGTGATGAGTGCGGACAGTGGAGCACCCTGGGCGTCTCTGTGTGTTGAGGCGCCCCTCACACAGAGACGCACCTACGCACAATATCATTAGGTGAGCACTTGTTTTAGAGTGTGTGAACAGGCTCCAACAGTGGGCCTTGACCATGTTTTTCCTTCCTGCTTGTCAGTATGTGCGTGTACTCGCCTAGGCAACAAAATGCCCCATTGTGGAGAGCACAGAGACCCTGTTATTGGCAGCTCTCTGAGTGGGAGGGAGGGGGGAGATGAACGGAGAGGCAGATGAATTGAATTCAAATTGCTGACTGGAAACTGAAGGAAAAAAAAAGAGATAAATAAAAAGGAGAGGCATAGAGAATAGGAAACAGGAAGTCGGGGGTGATAATCAACCTGAATTTGCAGAATTAAGGAGGAACCTGATATTTTCTGTGTTCACGCACACTCTTTGTCAGTCTTTTCAGCAGTTAAAATAACACATTAGCAGTTTTGTGAATATTCTGTTTTGGTGTCAAATTAAAGATCACAGTCAGGTTCATCTTTTTGATTATAGTACAGCAATAGGTTCAGGTTAAGTTTAGACTAGTGAACTGCAAACACAGGAAGCATTTATCAAAGTTCATAAGTATTTTGCTTAGAACAGCTTTAAGTCTTAATGGCTTAAATTGTGAGGTTTTGGTCCATATTTACATGATAGGATCAAACAGTTGTTGCTGATTTGCTGGCTGCAAATTCATTTTGAGATTCTTCTGTTCCACCACATCCCAAACGTGCTCTATTGGAGTGAGAGCCAGTGACTGTGGATGCCATTTTTGAGTACAGTGAGCTCATCGTCATGTTTAAGAAACCAGTTTGAGATGATGCAAATGTTGTGTTATCTTGCTGTAAGCAGCCACCGGAAGATGGGTACACTGCGGTCATAAAGGGATGGACATGGCCAGCAACAATACTCAGATAGGCTGTGGTGTTAAAATAATGCTCAGTCAGTACTAAGGAGCAAGCTACCTCCATGCCAAAATGCACTGAGTTGCTGCCATGTGATTGGCTTATTTGCATTAATGAGTGTTTGAACAGTTGTACCCAATAAAGTGGCAGGTGAGTGTCGGTTGAATAGCAACCTAATTAAAATTGCCTTCAAGATGCAGACAGACTTAGAACAGCTGACAAAGTAATGCTTTTTAGGTTGAGATGCACAAACTGATATCAGCTGACAGAAGCTAAGCGTTTCATGATGTGATGCATGGGCACAATACTCAAGATTACATATTTCAGCAGTATTGTTTCACTTCTCTACTTTACATCTGCTTTTACCTTTTTCATGTCTTGATTAGTGCAACGGAGCCACTATTGAGGGGCTACAGATGTTTATTGAGTTAAACAGGCACAACTATGAATGATAGCGTTAAGCTTAACTGCAGTGTTCATGTTTACCACTTATTGTGGTTTTCCCTGCAGACACTCACACAGATGCCCAGATGCAGCCAATCATGGGCTTCTCTGCAACAAAGTGCTGATTTAAGATGGTGAAAGATGCTAACACTTGCTGCTCACTTATTAGACACGTTTCGCTCAGTTTGGTGAGTAACGCCTCTGTGAAGGGGCTGAAGACCAATCAGACTGTTTTTCATTGGGCTGTTTTTTGAGTTCCTCAATTCAAAAATGGGAAGCATTTTGATTGGAGAGAAGAGAGCAAGATTCACACCGTCTGTACACTGTGCTCTGAGTTGTTAGAGGAAACTTTGGACAGGAAATGAAATGCATCACATTGGCAGCCGGTACACTGTTTTTTATCATACTGGGCTGGTGACTATGACTTCACTCAACCTTAACAACTCTCGTGTCTAATCACCAAACCGAATCAGGTTTATATAATGCTTTAAATATTTTCTCTTTTGCATGTTCTGTTGCTAGTCAGTGAGCTGAAGTGTTTGTTAATCATGCTTAGGTGTGTATCTTTAAATTTTAAACTTGTCAGTAAAAAAACAAACAAAAACTAAACAGTTTCTATCAAAGGAAAACTCATAACCATCTTGACATGATGTTACATCTTCTGATGGCCTTCACTAATTATTGATGGATCAGACCAAGTTAATGAGCGAACCCTCCCTTTAGTTTAAACTCAAAAACACACCTGTTAAGTTTTGCGACCGGACGTTTCACAACCTGTCCATAGTTTGACTGCCCACCAATATACCCACAACAGCCCTTGTGGTCATGGAAGTAATAGAAATTCTAGTTTGGTGTAGTCCTACTCTATTTATTTTCTGATATCCGCCGTGTGATACTTGCATGCAAACTTGTGACGAGGAAAAGTTCTTACCGTAAATATCATATAATTTGTGCAAGTCAAATGTTTTTAGTCTTATTAAACATATTTTCTTGTTATGTGAGATTTGGAGAATAAAGTATAAACTTTTTTCTTTTTGAATAGTATATTTTCAGTCAGGCATGTTTTTAGTGAGCTGAACAGAAAAGAGGTTAAACTCATCCACGCATATTTTATTTTTTCTTGTGATTGTATCAAGTGAAATATAGTTATGTGTGTGAGGGTGTGCGGAGGAAAGACTGTGTTTGCGGCTCTTAATGGGAAACCGACAGCTTCCCCTGTGGTCACAAGTAAGAGGCAGGAAGATAAAAGGCAGAGTGACTGCAGAAGGTTTTTGACTATCGATTTAGAAAAGCTTGTACATTCCCACGTTATAGAACAGTCAAGAAGAACTATTGGAAATATTTTTACGCTCACTGAAGTTGTGCATCGGTATAGTCTTTATTGAGCTATTGATTGTGGTTGTTACGTTTTTGTGCCGTGTGAGTGCTGGTAGATGACATCTACTGTTAATCAAAGCCTAACATTTTCACAGATTTGCGTAAAAGCTGTTCTTGGACATTTTGAATACAGACACAAAGTGCCATATCTATATTATCATAAAAATCATCCTCAAAACTAGTTAATTTATTCCAAATAAGTCAGTTTTACTTTACTCCAAAACATTAGGGTTAGTGTTTAGGCCTTGGGTCATCACCGGTGATGAAAAAATAAAACTTACGGTAATACCTTGATGACAGTGCTATGAGGAATTTTAGTGGTTTGCAGGAAGCTGAACATGACTGAAAGGCTTACGGAGAATTTAGAGACATGCTTTCTGTGCTAATACTCATTGTGCCACTTACACTTCCTCCCTTAGTAGTCTGTTGCGATAGTGCAACAAAACTGACTAGTTTAGAAACTTAAAGAAAACATGTTTAGGCAGAGAAATGCAGACTTAAGGGGCAGTTTCTTCTACTTTGTGTTCAACCTTTTTATACACACACGTCATTGGACTAATGTGACACCACTTATAAGAATGACTGAACTACTGTTGAATTTTACTGTTGTGGCGACTCAACTTCCTCTTCTACCTGGGAAAAAACATCCACCACATGTTGCATATAACTTTGCTGCAGTTGTTTAGACACTTAATAAAAATAGCAACTTCTTGAATTATGGCTATGATTGCACTATTCATTACTGATCACGATTTATCTTTAGAACCACACATATTAATTCAGGCTGACATATTTCCCGAGACAGGATTTGCCGCATTCATACTTGCATGACACACACAGACAAACTAAAATAACACAAACCACAAACTAAAACAAGGTTTTCAGGAAATCATTTAAAAAAATGTCATTGCTTTGGAGAGTTTTTGTTTTAATTTTTGCTTGTTCCTTGATGGGATGCATTGACACGTCTCCTTGTTCTGTCTCTTCTGCAGGTTGTGTAACCATGATCTGATGCATTAAGGTCTGCATTTTCTCCGTGGACTCTCACGAGCAGCACATACAAACACATCAGCAATGTCTCAGTCTGAATCCTGTGCCAATGTGGGGGAGTGGCTGGGCGTACTTCGCCTGGAGCAGTATTCCGATGCATTTCAGAGTGCCGGATATGCAACATTACAACAATGTCGCAGCCTCACACCAGAGCAACTGGAATGCATTGGTATCACCCTGCCAGGTCACCAGAGGCGCATCTTGGCAAGTCTGAACAAAACACATGGGAATCATGACGCTCACACCATCGGACCGTTTGAGAGATCAGAGGAAATGGGACAAGCTGAATTTCTGGGGAGAGATAGACCATTGCCTGTCCCACCATGTGAAAAATCTCTCCTTCAGGACAATGTGAAGCAAGATGGAGAGACTTTGAGACCTACACCTAGGAAACGAGAAACGCCAGTCCCCAGAGAAAGACAAGTATCCAGAATGCAGGAGAGCAGCGGTGAAGGAGAGAAGCCAGTTCCTGGGAAAAGACAGATGGTACCTAGAAATGATGGGGAGAAAGAGAGGGATGGAGGGATAGATAGAGAGAGGAAGAAACCTGTGCCAAAAGAAAGGACTAAGTTTCGCTCTACTACTCCAGACAACTTGGACCCTAGCCCCCCTCCAGCTTTGGACACTTCTTTGCCCCCTGTTCCCCCCCGAAGCACACCAAACTGCCCTCCACAGCCCTTCACCTTACCCCCTGTTCAAACCTATGGCTCCCCTAAACTGGAAAGACAAGAGGTCAGGGCTCCAGCTTTACAATGCCGATCTGTGTCCCCCAGTTCCACATTTACACCCCCCCAACCACCATCCCACCCTCCAGACCTCCCTTCTACTGCAAATAGGCCTCAGACATTAGCCATTCAGCCGAATGCCCAATACCTAACTGTCGATGGAGGAAGAAAATCTTCACCTGTTTCTCCCATCCACTCCCCTTGCAGTAGAAATATTCCACCTCTTCCTCCAAAGGCAGGAATAGCATCTAAAGGCCCTCCACCAATCCCTCAACGGTTTCCTGTTCAGTCTCCCAGAACTCACAGGTAAGGCTCCATTTGAATGCAGATGCCTCATTTTGCAAAAAGATGCACATTAACCACTGAGTTTATTACAGGTAAAAAAAGATGAGCCTAAAAATATGATAAATCTCACAGGCTGGCGCTTGCTAGCTGTCTCCCTCACAAACATAAACACACATGCTCTCTCACCACCATTATCTGTATTACCACTGTTAACTATGTGTTTTGATAAGTGATCAAAAACCCTCTCAAATGGTACCAGTGGATTGTGGCGCCATCTACAGGCCAAGCTTGAAAAGTGCATCTCTTGTGTACTTTACCATGATGACACACAAAATTTTACTGGGGACTTTTGAACACTTCCTGAAAGTAAAATTAGACACTTCCTGAAACTGAAGGGTCGCAGCACACTTGACTGGACAAAGTTCTGTGGCCTTCTGAATACGGAAATACGTCGACAAGGCTTCATCTGAACAAACTGCAACCCCTGTGTGAAACTGTAGTCTATTTTAAAGTTGCTCTTAACTTACTACTGAGCCCTTTCTGGTTAGTGTTTGTTTTTTTTCAAAGGTTCTGTGGTAAGCGTTTCTGCCCTTATGAGTTAAAGTTTTGCGCAGGGAGTGTTGTTTGGCAGTTTCTTCATAGTCATTTTTACACTGATGTGTTTGCAAAAGTGTGAATTTCCAATTAGCACACTGAAGGCCACACATTTTACCTTAAGCAGCAGAATTTTCATCTGCTTTCACTGATGATACTTTGGCAGTAATATGTTATCTCAGTTTGTGTAAATCCTTCTGAAATCACACCGGCTGAACAGCTTTTTTTCTCCCTTTTTTCTGTATTGCTTTAATGAAAGGAAACCAAAGCTTTGACTCCAGTACATTTAATAGCACATTTATTATGAGCAATACAAGCATGTTTAAAAAGGAAACTGGCTTTTACAGGGAGGAAGCCACGGTTGAGGGCACGTAAGCAGTAAAAAAAACTGTGACAGACATGGAGGGGAAAGACGGTGAGGATTAAAGGCAGAGAGCACAGCTACACTGTGATGCATTACCAGGAACTACTGTCTGAGTTTTTGTAGCCTTGAATATTCACACACTCTTGTTGCTGCATTGCCTCCTCCCCCTTTTGGTTAACTAGTTTCCTCCTGCTTTGTGAAGAGTTTGTGAAGAGTTTGTGTTTGTATCATCATGGAAGAGGAATCCTTTTGAGCATGTCAGGACAGGTAACATTTATATAAATCATATCTGTATCCTGTCTATACTTATTTTTAGCATTCACTCTCTCTTTCCCCCGTCGACACTCTTCTTGCTGTGGGTTTCAAAACAAGCAAGCCTTCCTTTTTCTTTTCTGTAGTTTGCTTCATCTTTTCTGCTGTGTTGGTGATGTTAGTGACACTTCTGCTGCACCTACTCCATGAATTTGTTTTACCTTCACAAGAATAAGGCTGGTTACAATTGCAGTGATACTGGATGAGACCCTTCTCTTGTCCTGGGGCGATAGATGTGCTTTGGAAATTCAAACTACTGTTATGTTATGTTATGTTATGTCTTTCAAGAAATCAAGTAAGGCAAGTTTAAGATGGTATTCTGGAGAGGCATTCATGGCATGTTTAGCTGACACGCAGGTCAGGTGTATTTCTAAGACAAAAACTATGTTCTTAGCTTTGCTGTTTTCCACTTTCAAAAGTGACATAGTAACTGTTTTCTTCAGACATAAGCTATGAAGTATCTGAAATGCTAAGTCTAGCTTGCATTAAAGACCACAGTAACTGTGCTGTTAACACATATGTTAGCTTAGTGTCAGCACCACGACTTAAACTGCACTGTAGTGATTTTTGTCACAAGAATAATTCTGCAATGCCTAAATAAGTTAAGAGCTATGCAGTGTGGGAGGACAAAGGAGCAGTCGTTGTTTCTTCAGCCAACTGTCATATGTGAGCTAGCCGAGTCGTTAAATATAGAATTCAAGCTAGCAAAACCCCTCTCAGCACTCTTCCTCTGAGAAAAAGGAGGAACTGTGTCAATAAGGCAGTTTCCCGTCATTGTGAGGCTTTTGCATGTTTTTTTCTGGGTTTTTTTTGAACTGAGGTATTTTAATAATTTCAAAGATAGTTCTTGAATACAGTCTTTAAAGTTGAATGTTTAGTATGAGTCTAGTTACTTGATAAAATTCTGCTTTGAACCTGCTGCCAAGTGCATGAAGTGTGTACTAATTTGTCCACAGGCACTGCTTCCTACATAAATGATACATGAATGGTATTTTTTTAAGTCAACAGCTCAGCTAATGCAGTTATGTTAGAAGAGTGATCATACCTAATAAGCACTCAATTCCTGTGTTCATTCAGCCCAAGGGCAATTTGACTTGGTGGTTTTTCACAACATGTCAGTGTTGAATGCTCAACTGTCTGACTTTTAATGGGAGCCAGTAAACAGTAATATTAGGGGGTGTTTGTGACACTTTCAGAGTGTATTTATTTATTTATTTATTTTTTTATGAAGTAAAGGTGATTTCCCTCTCATACAGAGCTAATATTTGTGAGCTAATAATCTGAAGATTTGTTTTGTGGTCTTCATGTTTCATCTCAGTGATCGTTTTTATGAGAACGAAATCCAAACACATAAAAAAAATATGAGGAATAAAGAGGAACTTTCACAATACTGGATAGACAGAAACCAGATGTGCATGTTCACTCCTGACTTACCATCAGCACAAAGTGACGTACATGCACTGTTCGGTTAATGCGTTCATTTTGCAATCTTTGGCTTGGTGTGCATTCATGACTAACTCTTAAGGCCGCATAACTGACATACTATTTAGGAATGTGTATGTTTGGCATTTAAAAAACAATTGCATGAGTAAATCGAACATGATCTGCGACAGTGTTTGATGAATCAGTGTGTGTAATTTCCCGTAATATCAGGTCTGAGCATGTATGTTGTGCATCTTTGGTGCAGAACAAGATGATATTTCAGCTAATATCAGTTATCATGCAGTTGAAAGGGCTCAGTGAGGGAAGTAAAGTACTGCTTGGTAGTGTTCACAATGAGGGTGAGTTTGTGTTAGATCTAGATATCATACGTGATAGTGTTAATAGGGCTGTCGTTCAAGTGAGGTTGTCTATACAAGAGGGCAAAACTATAATGGTGTCGGTGTTCACGCTTATCAATGGCGTTTGCAATCTTCCGCTGTCTTTGAGAGATATTTCTCAGGTTTCTTTGTGGAAATATTTTGCCTTTGTGCAATTAGTGAGTCTGTGGTAGAACCATATATGGTGTAAAAGATGGACCTAGCCACCATGACATTAGCCACTGGTTTTGGACTCTACATTTTGAAGCTTTTTCAAATCAGACTCTGGCTTAAGTCGTGGGTGTCAAACTCCAGTCCTTGAGGGGCAGTGTCTTGAAACTTTTACATGTGTCCCTGTTGTAACACACCTAAATAGAATTATTAGGTCATTAGCAACAGTTGACTGCATGCTGTGGTGGCAGTTCAACCCTTTGATTCATGTTACAGCAGAGAGAATGACCATGGTGCAATAAAAGTACTTTTAGAAGTACATTTTTCCCAAACACTTACACTGTAAATTTACTTGAGTGGGGTTGGGGTTTGCCACCTCAGCATGCAGTCAAGTTCCATCCACCCCTGGTTTAAGTGGATGAGAGAGAGGAAGGGCGGCTCTGACAGTGACAGTTTGGTGTCAGCATGCATTTTCGTGCTACTGATATTCCCCCATTTTGAAGCACGGTGCCACCAAGTGTTTTAAAACTGACTTGATATTTTAGTCAGTATGACCCAAAATGACGGCCTGAGCAGATAAACGCAGTAGGACAGTGTTGAAAGAGATAAAGCCAGAAAGCTGTTTTCCCATAGACTTCTATCACTGTCTGTCAGGGGAAAAGCAAACGTGTCCTTTAGATAGACTCCAGGTTTTTAGGCACTTATGCATTGGCTTCATTCTTCCAACCTGAAACGTATTTCCAAGGTTTATATGGTTTGGAGCCAGCCTCAAGTAGCACCTAGAGGGAGATTTAACACTTCCATGTCGGCTTCATTTGTCAGCTCTGGAGGATGACCTCTTTTATAGATGGATTATACATCCTGTTGGGATTAAGCGTGAGAAATCCAAAATGTATGTCGGACACTCAGCCTGACCTCATAACTTTGATACACCCCACCCCATAACTGTATTGTGAGCATCACTATATGCACATATGGCAATGCATTCTACGTATGTATGTGATCATCAGAGTTATTATAGTTTTGTATTTGAAAATATCTAGTTTAGTTTCTATTTATCAATTCTATTAATTCTATTAGTTGACAAAATTATAATATCTATCACAAGCAGTGGGTTGCAGTCCTTAGGAAAATGTTGACTTTGCATTTGAACATTCAGAACATGCACGTGTACCTGCATTTTCACTAACAAATTCCATATTTGTGGGTGAAACAGCCCACCCATTAAGAAGACATCTGTGGTCTTGACATAGGGAATTTCCTTTTTGTCATTTGCTTAAAAAATCATGCTTGCCCCCATTGAATGTTTTGACTCAGCTCACATAATTTAACCACACTTCAATGGGATTACCAAACAATTGATGGCTAAAGTTGATGGGGAGGGAAAGAAGATGAGCCTGTTTTTTCTCTTCCTGGTGTGCCACTTACTGGCAAAAAGGCCCTACCTTGTGTTTTATCAAAACAAAACTGTTAATAAGGGCAGATGTGCTGTGCCAGGTGCACAGTGCATTCTGAAAATGACAAAAACTGATATGATGAGCAGTGTTAAACACCAGAATGTATGACCTCAGCATATGTGTGGCACACGTAAGATATATTTCTGTGTGTTTGAGTTTCTTGAGTATACACAGGCAGCGTGGGTTTACAATAAGGTGGCATCACTTATGTGAGGCAGGCTTAGGCTTGCTCTTTAAACCAGAAGTGCGAGTAAAAAACTAGACTTGTCAAGAGGAGAGCAAAGGAACACATGTTTCAGTGTCTGGGATTAGTTTTACTACAACTGTGGAATACTTGTGTTTCAGAGCAGCAGTCCCTAATTTGTACTAAATGAGGTTACCAGATGGATCCTTATTTTTCATTTTTTATTTTTTAAAAGTTACTTTATGGAGTTCTTCGAGAATTATAACTTTAGGGAAAAAAGCTCTGCACAGCTTTGTCACCAGCAAATTTTTGTGCCTGGAGTCAGATCTCACAAGGACACTTCAGTTTTTACTATTGAGTGAGAAAAGAGTTAGAGAGGAAGGGGTGTCTAACTATATAAACTATAATAGTTTTTATATATGTTTCTATAAACTATATATATAGTTTATATAGAAAGAAAGAAGATGAATAAAATCAGCCGCCTGCTTGGAATTTTTACCCGATCTGAGAACACCATGGCTTCCAAGGACTCATCCCCACCCCTCCAAACCTCTTTTGACCTGCCCTATTTTTCTCTGTCCTCCAGCCCATCTCCCACCAAGACAGGCACGGATGACCCGCTCAGAGAACAAACTCCAGAGATCCCACCTCGCATCAGGCCACCTAAAACTCAAGAAAGCCCACAACAGTTGACTCAACTTGATATACAGCCAGCTCTGCCTGCTAGGAGAATTCCCCAACCTCCCAGCGAGTATAGTAAGTAATATAATCAGCTTATGTTCCATTTTTTATTTTATTTTTTTGTGTGTTTCATCCCTTAATTACAACAATCGCTGTGGTAGATTTAAAAATACAGAACCTACAGTACTGTCTCTAGTCTTGCATCGTCCTCACTTCCTTATATTTTTTTTCACAAAAATGGGAAATAGGTGCAGTGATTTAATAAAAAGTGTGCCAACATACCTTGAAAATAAGCCAAAACAGAGTTTAACAAGCTTGAAAGTCAGTGTTTGGTATGATCACCTTTATTCTTCAGCACAGCCTGAACTGTCCTGGGTGAAATTTCTTGTCATTTCTTTAAGTAGTCTTCAGGAATAGTTCTTTAGGCTTGTTGAAAGACATTGAAAGCTCTTCTTCTTTGTTGGCTGCCTTTTGTTCCATTCTCTGTCAAGATGACAGTGCTTCAATAATGTTCAGGGCCAGGCTCTGAGGAGACCAATCCGTGACTAATAGTGTTCCACTGTGTGTTTTTTCTTGTGCATGTGTTCTTTTACTGCATCAGCAGTGTGTTTGGGATCATTGTGATGCTGAAAAATTAAGTTGCTGCTAATTAGACAGTTTCCAGATTCCATTAATATCTTGTGTTTATGATGCTCAACAGCACATGACAGATCCTCCTCTGTCTTTTACCAATGGCTGTAGACATTCACTGTTGTACCTCTCTACAACCCAACCTCCTCTATATACCCATTTATGATCATTCCAGTAAAAATTTCAAAATTAGCTTCATCGCTCTATTAGAGGCATAGCTGGACTGGCCATCGGACATACCGGGCCGATGTTTTGTTGTTTGTTTTGTTTGGGGGGGTTTTTGTAACGATATAAACAATGAAAGGTGTTGGATTGGCTAATTGGTTATGATCGACTCTGGGCTGGATAGATTACAGCCGACGAGGTCGAACTTTAAGTTCCGTATTGAGCTGACAAGGAACACAGTTTGTCCCGCACTTCAGCTAGAATGAAAAAAGACACAAAGTTGGAATAATTCTGCGTCTTTGTGCTGTCAACTGCCTCTTCTTCTCTCATTCTCTCCCCCTCCCTCTCCTGTTGCTACTTCAATCATGAAACTGATCAATGATCAGCTTTTCTGTCACAAGTCCCATCTCTGTTGTTCACCCACTTTGTGCCAGATAGAGGAAACCGGCGGATTTCGTGCTAAACAACAGCAGCGTGTTTAAGCTTGATCAGCTGTTGTTAGAATGTATTTAATATTAATTTCTAGTATCAGCTGATGTTTGCTGGAGCCACAGCTGTAAAAGCTGCTGGTCATGATGTCGGTTTGTATATCTGGTGAGAGGGAAACATGAAGATGAAACCAGGAGCTGTCCTTACTGGATCATCAGAGCTGAACCGGTGATGGAGAAGCAGGTTTACCTTTTAGGTGACATGAATGAGTTGAAGGGAAGTTATGAACTGAGATAAATAACACCAGGATCCTTTGTAGCTGATAGCTGGTAACTGTGCAGGGGTGGATCTAGCAAAGTGTTGCCAGGGGGCCAGGTAGGGCATTAACAGGGAGAGGGGGGCACAAAGAAATACTTTCTTATTCTCATTTCAAATATCTAGTTTTTAATAAAAAAATTACCTGAATCTTACAACTAAAGTTTAACTAAAATGTATAGAAACCCATTATTGTACGTAGTAAATATTAAGTCTAATATACAACCTAGTAAGTTATAGTACTTTTTTCTTTGGGAAGGTACCATCTGTGCAGTCTGCAATTCTGTTGAAGAAAGATGTTGAATCTATTTAATTATTGTAAAAAAATAATTGATTTCTGTGCATTTGTTTTACACATACATTAAATTAAAGTTGATTATGTCAATTAAGCATCATGAGGCAGAGGGTGGGGGGTGGTTTCCTTTTTTTTTTTTTTTTTTTTTTTTTTTTTGCTACAACCTATTAGTCAGGTTGTTCAATATTTCTGCTAAATGCTGTTTAGAATACTAGAATAGGGAGGAATAGGATGGCGTAGGTTTAAGTTTATTCGATTGATACATTAATACCAGCGAGATGGTGTACATCACTGTCACAACAGCGTTTGTTTTCATTAAAAGGCTTTATGGCTTTTCCTATAATACCTGGTGGGCCGGTCTCTAGTCAAAATGCCTGGGCTGATTTTTTTTGTCCCAGTCCAGCCCTGCTTAGAAGCAAAGTGTAAATAAATAAGAGGTGGCTCAAGATTTTTATCCAGACGGTACATTTTTTAAAAGAGAGAAAGTCAGAAAACCACTAATAAAGATTTTTTTTTACTTTCGTTTTATGAAGATGAATTTGAAGTCATTCTGTGTTCTTCCATGCGAGACTGCTTCCTGTTTTTTAAACCTTAGCTCTGCTGTGAGGTCAACTAATTATACAGTCTGCTCGCCACAGCTCTTTCTCCTGCTTCTGTGCGGTGAACTGTGTAGTGAGTTAGACAAAGCAGCAGCTTCATCCTAGTGTGACCGTCAGGCTTCAGTGTTTTGGGCTTTTTTTTTTTTTTATATATATATTAAAATGTCGATCTCAGGCCTGAATCTGCATATCAGTCAGCATGTGTCTTTGTAATCTCATCTTCTTGCTTTAAGATGCTCATACTGGAGAACAGTCTTGACCTATGTTGCAGAAATTAAATGGACACAAGTGAATACTTGGAAAAGCATTGAAAGGTTATTTGAATTTAGAAGATGGGCAGACAGCTAGACAAGATATTTTTATAATGTGTGTGTGCTATCATGGCTATTTGGTTTCTGAAATGGGTTCTTTAATTTCATGCATACAGAGTTATTGAATATCATTCAAATTATAGGGCTTCCTCATCAAAGCATTTTTTGTGATAGCAAACGTGTCAGATAACTTCAAATAGCTTCTCTTAACTGTGTGAGGGACCTCCAAAGCAGGTGAGTTTATTTAAATATTTTCTATAAATCATCCTACAGCTATTTCAATATGACACTATCATAATATACATTTGTAGGTAAAAGTTGAAGATATCCTACCTGCTCCTCCTGTTTGCCTAGAGTGCTTTAAAATTAGATTTGTTGATTGGCAACAAGTTGGTTGTTACGTCCCTCTGCAGCCTCTAATCTCCTCAGTGTGTTCAGATGGTGCTAATTGGCCACACCCAGTCAGGTGTTGATAAAAGCATACCTGAGGCAGGCTTTCAGGGAGCTCACTTGTCTTTGCCTTGGTGGCACCAGCCAATTTAACCAACCTGGTTTTCCATTTTAAGAAAAAACCTCTTCTCACTAACACTCTGGTATTCATCTTTTCTTTTTTTATGAAAAGATGAATACCATGTATAAAAAGGCTGTATCCAGTCATGTTGGCTGTATATTTAACCATTTAAACCCAGTGTCCACAAAACAAGAAATATGCAGTTCTATGGAAATCACAATAGGATTAGATTTGATTGAAAATCATACAAAGACAACATGTCATTGTATTTAATTTTGAACTTAATGTCAGCAACTGATTATAAAAAAGTTTGACAAAATGCAACAAATTAATTGATTAATTAAAAAAATACTTTGTGTAAAATCTCACATATAATTGGTATTTCTATTGATCTAGAGAGATTACATTATAGAGGGTGAGTCTTGTATGAGCAAAGGTAGAGTGGTTTTCATCACAGAGAGTATCTGGAGAAATATATTTCAGAATAACAGCCTCATCCTAAGGACCAGGTGTCAGTTCATTAACAAAGTGAATGCAGTTTGTCACTGCATTCACATAAGCAATTTAAAATTCTACCACACAGAGAAAAAGAGTGTTTAAGGCAGAAGATGGCCCATCAACTGTATTGTTATAGCACAAAAGCACACAGTATGGGTAGCTTACACGTCTGTGAACCATTTCTGTTGCATAATATCTAAACCCTTTGCAGCAACATCGCCTGTCAAACGGGTAATGCCATTTTCACAAAAGGTCTTGTTGGTTTTGGCAAGAGAGTGCCACATTTTCCAAGTATTATAATTACATGGTTATGTAGGGGAGGAGCTTATGTGTTAAACTGGACTGGTTGCAGCCCTCTGAAAATATTTGATCAAGTATAAACAAACAATACAAGAAAAGAGGCCTCGAAGTACTGAAGGTGACAGCAGCATGAGCGTGGTTGAGAGTTCCAGTTCACTGATTTGAATTTGCAGAGGTGAACCGCAAAGAGTGTTCAGCTATAGCTGTCTGTTCTCCAAACTTACTTTAAGGCTAAACTGTGTCCTGTTTATGATTGCCATTGGATTTGTTTTTCAGTTGCAAAAAATGCCCATTGAGTCTGGTATGACCAATCAAAATGAGAAGAGAGATTTTTATCAGTAAAGTGGGAGTACACAGCATGGGTGGCATGCATGTGAACCATTTATGCTCAGCGATATTTTTTTAAAACTACAGCAGTTGTTCACTTCACACTTTACTGTTTGTGGTTTAAAAAAAAAAGATGTACTGCAACACAGTGTTTAGCATGGGCCTGTCCTCACTTTTTCTAAACATGTCACTGGTCTCAAATTCAAAGCAAGCATATCATTAAAATTTTTTTAGTTTTAACAGTTGATTGATTTTTATTTTACATGTGGTGTGTTAACGATTTGCAAACCACTGCCTTCAGTTTTAATGTACCACAGAATTTCATCTTCTGCAACAGCTTCACCTCAATATTGTATAATGTTTCAGTGGTAATACGGCTCTGCTTAATAGTAGATGCTCAACCTGAAAATCCAGTTTTAAGGGGAGAGAAAGAGACGACACAAACTGGTGCATATCCATTAAAACTCACTCACTATTAATTCAGTCTGTTTGCGCTTACAAACATTGACACAGCCAAAATTACTACAAATTCATATCCACATAATCCAGTTTTACTAGTGTGACTCACTTTTTGCCTTGCCTTATATCATGTTTCCAGAGTTTCTCAGGTTCTGCAAAACCTGCTCCAGACTTTAGCTTAATCTTGATTTGTTTTCCTTTTCTCTTCTTGTTCAGTGTTGGCTACGGTCAACGAAAATTCAAATGACTACGAGGAGCCAGACTTGTTTGGTCCCGCTGGTCATCGAATGAACCCACCAGAGAGGGTAAGAAATTGTTAATCGGACCACTCCCAGGCTTTTCGGCTCTTTCTTTCCTCTTGCCATATCCTGTGAATCATTCCCGTTTCCTCCAATAGGATATGTCCCTGCAAGTGCCAAATTACACAAAGAAGCGGCCGAGTTCCCTTTGCAGTGACGATGGAGTGCTCGACGATTATGAGTGAGTCATAAAACAACACAAATGCAAACCTCAGAAACTGAAATACAAGCACACTGTTTGCAGGGTTTTGTTTCCCTTTGGTTGCTGATTATTCTGAATGGCTGTAACTTGGGAGGTAGAGTATTGATCCACCAATTTTACTAATTGGTCAGTGATCGATTCCACAGCTACTCCAGTCTGCATGTTGAAATATCCTTATTACTGAACCCTGAGAGTGTTTGTGTGAATGTTACACAAGGCACTTTGGGTGTTGGGTTAGAATAGAAATGCACTATATAAGTACCAGTCCATTTATTGCAGTGTTTGTGTAAGTTAATTTGAGACATGCTGCTGTATTTACTTTGTTTCAATTTACTTTCATTTTATTGCACAACATATTCTCAAACTGTCAGTGCTGCAGAAATCTAATCATTGATCTTCACCTCTTTTGTGTAATTATATTATAAAATTATATTGTTACACAGTTAGCTTTGTCAAACCTTTTGCACAACATTTGCACAACTTGTCTGACTTAAACTTTGATGAAAAATGTAATTGCTTATGAAGTTTGTGTGATGTTTCTTTCTTTTTCCTTTTCTGTTTGCGTGTGTCTGTGTGTGCGCGCACACACGTATAGGTATGAAGGGAGTCTCCACAGCCAGCAAGGCAGTTTCTACCTACCAAACACTGGTGTTTTGGCTTCCACCATGAAAGAAGACACCTCTCAGCTTTCTGCTGTCATCAAGATGGGTTGGCTGGACAAGAATCCACCTCAGGGGTATAATAATGATGATGCTTAAAAAAAATCAGAGAATATATATTACACAAATATTTGATTGAATTAAAAAACAAACACAGGGCAGCGATATTTGCTTTTTTATTCGGTGTTCTGTCTGTCCTCATCCACAGGGCTATTTACTACCAGAGACGATGGGTAAAGCTAGATGCTGACTACCTGAGATACTTTGACACTGACAAGGTAACAAAACAAATGCATCCGAAAACTCAGTGATGTGTTCAGACACAAGCACAGAACGGAAGCGCTGTTTTTGTGTATGACTCTGTCCAGGAGATACTGTTGACATACTAAATAGGTATTGATCATTTTTAGGGCTGCAATGATTCTTCGAGTAATGCGAATAGCTTTATTATAAAACTCTTCAGCTGTTACTATGTAAATGTGACCTTTTCACCCACATTTACCACTAAAAATAGGCCTGCAGTAGAAACGTGTCTTGGAGCACTCGTGGAAATAAAAAGTGTGACAATATTAAGGCCAAGCAGCTTCCAGTTTAAAAAAAGAAAAAGACTCATAACAGAACAGCAGTAATGAGAGTCCTTCATCAAACCTGAAGAAAAACAAACTTTGGAAATGCTCCCATGCACTGCTGTTTGTTTTACAGTGAAAAGCGATAGTAAAGTTACTGGAGTTAAAGTAAAAAATGCAGATGAGCCATTATTAAGGCTGATGGGCAGGGGCGAGAGGAGCATGGGGTGTAAGTGAGTTACATTATTTTGCAGATTTGGATTAATATAAAATCTTAATTTGTTTTTAATTTTATTCTGTAATTAAAATTGTGTCAGTGCTGTTAAGTTTGACATTATTAGCGATAATTATTTATTGTGCACCATCAGAACATCTGTCTTCTGCAGCAGGAAACGTTACATCAAAGCAAAGGGCAAGCCTCAGTTCTGAGAATGTTGATGTCCTCGCTTTTGTGTGACAGCCACCACAAACTCTTTTAAAGGGTCACACATGCGCACACATTAACTAGATACACTCCTCTTAATGTCAGAGAAACCTCCACAAATGCTTAGCAAAGGCATCTTTTTTTTATACCTTAGTTTAGTGTGCATGTATATCTTATGTTATTTGACACCAATGTACTTGTTTTTAGTTGTTTGTGGGGTTTTTTTGCATTTATGAAAATGTTTTGTTTAATAAATATGACTTTTAATGGTACGTAAATACAATGAAGTTATATGCATTTAAATGACCTAAAACAATGCAATTAATATGGAAACCAATGAGTGGTTAATTTTAAATTGCTTTTAATTCACTGATCGCTTGATTAATTGATGAAATAACTGATCATTAAAGTAATCGATAGCTGCAGCATTAATCTGAGATGCTGAGTGTGTGTTGTGCTATCTTGTGTTGTAGGACGTGTATTCTAAGGGGATCATCTCAACAGCTTTCATCACTAATGTGACCACTGTGGGGGAGCTGAAGTTTGAAGTTGTTACAAACAATCGAACCTTCATCTTTAGGGCTGAAAGTGAAGGTATGTCTGTTCACCCAACTATATATGTGCTTACACTTGTACAGACAGTTATTTCCCATGTCTCAAAATATGCAGTTAACTCAGTTCATATATATATTTGTGGGTGCCGATTTTACTACGTTCATGTCTGATCTGACATGCCTATGCGCTCTCATTGCAGCTGAACGAAATGAATGGGTGACTGTACTGCAGGATTGCACCAGTGGGCGCCAAAGGCACACTGTCATGAACCCCGGCTCACCTTTAGCCCCAGACTATCAGGGCTACTTGGAGCTAAAAGGGTTACGCTCCAAACTTTACACAGTTGTTGCCTCAGATAAAGTTTTCCTCTACAAAAATATTGATGTAAGAACTCTGGGTGCAGCTGTGTGTACAGATTTGTACTTAAGATAATTGCATTTTGTTTTCTTTACTTTAATGATTGTTAGAATTATAAGAAATGTTTTTTGTTTGTTTGTTTGTTTGTTTGTTTGTTTGTTTGTTTGTTTTTGTTTTTTTGATTTGTTGGAACAGTGTAATTTACATTTTATCTTCCATTTCTTACAGGACTATCGTATTGGATTGGGTATCACGTCTATTGAGATGAATGTAGGAAACATTAAGGACTCAGATCGTCGAAGCTTTGATCTCACCACACCTTATCGCATATTTAGGTATTGCATGCACACAGAAATGAAATCTGCTCTCACACCTTTCCCATGTTTGTGTGACTGTCACACCTCTTATTGCAGTAATTAAGCAGTTGGGTTTATATAAATATATAATATTTCTATAAAACTGTTTATGTGAGATCAACTGTGGGATATGCTAATTGGACAGTTTAGAGACGATGATCATTCCTCATTATCAGCATCTGAGTTGCTCTTGAGTTGAGTTGCTGGGTTACAAGGTCATATTGTTTTAGTGAGAACTCTCCCACAGTCCCTCAATCCTCAGCTGGTCGTCTTTCAAGAATGTGAAAAGTCTTTTGTGTGACTGTGTGTGTGCGTGTTTTTGTGCGAAGAAGTGCAGGGGATATGTTTGTGCATGAGTGCATGTGGTGTGTGGTCTTTTGGCTGACAGTTCACAGCCTGCGCCTGTAGTGCAGGGTCTCAGCATGACAGGATGGGGAAATGTGTGTTTCTGTGGACTAGTGTACTGGCTCTGAGTCTCTTGACTGTAAACATATGTGAAAGTGTTTCATTTTCATTCAGACCTGGTAATAATAAGAAAGGTTGAAGATTTAGAAATGTTTAAAAATAAAAGGAGGAGTTTTTTTTTCTCTCATTATGTCTACATCAGCAATGTAAATGAAAGAAATTAGTAATAAGAAAAGACAATGATTCAGATCTGGACAAAAATGTAATTCTTTGCCAGTGCTCAGATTTTCCATTACATTTCCAAAACCCAAATAAATGGCAGTTATCGGTATTTTTGTTGATTTAACTCAATTTATTTAGTTGTATACTAATACAGCTGATACTGATTTATTCTGAAATTCATGATTCAACTTTTTATTTAAATTGTTAAGCTAATGTTATGATTTGTATTTTAAAGTACCGTATTTAGTGTTTTTACTGTATTTAAAGTACTGTATCTGTGGTTTTGTGCTTTTGTCCAGAAATATTTCAGGGCAGGAAATAATTACTCAATTTATTTCTGTAAAGTATATTTATATGTATTACTAATTTAAGGGAAGATAAACTGAGCATGCAGCAGACAGGGTGAAAAGAGGAAGCTTGTCTGCCTCTGTGAGTTTATGTGGTTTCCAGGTCTTGAGTATATTTAGCGTAACAACAGCGATCTAAGCGTCATTTCTCACCTTCATGTCAGCGTTAACACTCGTCCATATGCTTGCCTCTCTCCGCAGCTTCATCGCAGAGTCGGAGCAGATGAGAGAGCAGTGGGTGAATGCTATGCGAGACGCGATAGGTGAGGCATTGTCTAACAGCGAGGTGGCTGAGCGGATCTGGGCGGAGTCTAGCAACAGTCTGTGTGCCGACTGTGAAGCACCGAAGCCGGAGTGGGCCGCCATCAATTTGTGTGTGGTGGTGTGCAAACAATGCGCAGGTTTGTGTGTTCTGATTTTGTTTTTGTGCGGTGCTTTGGGCTGTCAGTGTGAATACTTTGTGTTTAGCAGCATTTTGACTTTTAGTTGCTGGTTGCTGAGTATCAGAATTAACATGTGGCTTCCAGCACAAGAGGCATTGTGACTTTGTTTTGTCGTGGCCATCAGTTGTCATAGATGCGATATTTCAGGAAGTTCTTTAGGAAAACACTCCAGTTTAGGACAAATGTTCAGTTGTTCTCAGGGACTATTTAGATGTTAGTGGTCAGAGCTCACTTCTGTTTTTCACTCATATCATTTCCTAAAAAATACTTTTTTGGGCCATTATTAAAGGGCATGTTTTGTTTTTATCACAGGAAATATTAATATTATAATTTAAAGAATCATGATATAAATGTCAGGCTATGTCACCCACTTCTACTACCCACCTTTAAACTCTTGGCCGAATTATGTGTGCTTCTGATAATCATGTGTGAGGCAGCCGTACTTTAGGACTTGTAGCTTCTCTGCGGTCACCTCCGATTTTGTTGCACCTCTATTTTTTTAGTATGCAGACACTTAATAGATTTTTCTAGTAAATAAAGTCTTTTTCTACTAAGGTGAAATAAGCCTGGACACACATTGATATCAGTGTGTGGTTGGTTGGTTGGTTGTGCTGTTTGGCAGAGGCATAAAACCACAGGGCAGTAATTGTACAGTGCTGTGAAAATGTATTTGACCCTTTGCTAAAACACAATGCTGTTTTTAGGTGACGCTACCTGGCCCTGTGTGAAAGTAATTACCTCCTAAACCTAATGACTAGTTGTAGCCTGCGTGTTCTCTTTGGTCAGCAGTGATTTTTGCCTTGAAATATTAAAAAAATCAATCATTTCACTGCACTTGTTGTTTGTTTTTTGTCTGTTTGTAAAGAGTTATTTGGTTGTCCGTACAGAGCTTATAATATGGTCAAGATTGAACTTGGCTTTAATATGTGTATGTGTGTTATTCCAGGGGAGCACAGAGGACTAGGCCCTAGCATTTCAAAAGTTCGAAGTCTGAAGATGGATAAGAAAGTTTGGACAGAAGAGCTTATTCAGGTACAAATAGAAATTCTCTCTCTAATTAATTGTTGAGACGTTTTTGATATAAAAATTAGAACAGACTCCAAAGACAAGGATTTATGTCCAGTTTCTTTAAATATTTAAAGTCTTAAGATTAATTAACTAGTATGTTCAAATATAATGTTTCTGCAATTAATCATTTTGGAGCTGAGACAGCTTAGTTTTAGTTTCATCTCTGTGGAAGTTTCCGAGGCAGTAGTTACCGGTGGTTTTGTGTGGGTTTCATTATATTGTTTTATAAACCTGCAGGTCAGAAGTGTCAGTAATCTGATCTAGTAAGTGCTACAGAAGAAAAATAGAGAAAAATAGAATAAGTGTGGAAGTACTTCTCTTCATTTTTTATTTATTTATTTATTTTCCTGTTCACCCTGCCCTTGTCGCAGTTATTCCTGGTGATAGGCAACGAGCGGGCTAACAGTTTTTGGGCAGCTAATGTCCCACCAAGTGAAGCTCTGTCGCCTTCGAGCTGCAGCGAAGAGAGAAGACGCTTCATCAGCAACAAATATCGCCAGGGCAAATACAGGAGGTACCACGCTCTGTATGGAAACCAGAGGGAGCTCAATCACGTAAGTCAAAGTCACAGTTTGCTTGTGATACCGTTGTGTTTAATTCTGAATCTGCGCACTGCATTGCCAGAAATTTCTGCTAGTGAGCAGCTGCAAAGTGTAAAGTGATGAGTGACAAGCGAATAGCTGAGTGTGCGGATGGGGCCTTAAAATGTGTCCACATTGGAAGCGAGGTGCCAACCGGAAACCAGAGAGAGTGAATGACTTTCCGTAATCTTTCCATGAGGGAAATAACCGCTTGCTATGAGTAGTGGGCGGGGCCCTAAATAAACTTTTCCTGTTTCTGTGTGATTGAAAGTACCAGACTGAAGAATACTGTTGATTAACATATGACCTGATAATAAAGTCACTAGAGGGTTACCTAGGCAACCGGAGCCTTGAATGTCACAAACAGCCGGCTCACGACTTCAGGATCAGTTTTCCCATTATCCTGTTGGTAGATGAACCTTCATACTAGTCTGAGATGCTCCCCTGGTGCATTATTGCCTTCATTAGGTCATCTGTGTACTTAGCATCATTTGGTGTTCATAAGCCCAGATGAGTCATCCTGTCCCTGCTTAAAAAAAATCCCCCCACAGCATGATGCTGCCACCACCACACTTCCTGGCTGGGATAGTATTGAATAGTGTCTTGTTTCCTTCAGACCTGACTGCTGTTATCATGATAGAGAATCTCGTTTCTCACAGTATCAGGATCCTTGAGGTTGTTTTTTTTTTTTTCCTGAATCCCATGCAGGTTTTTGTATGCCTTTCATTGAGGAAACACTACTGCACTGACAGGAGAAACTTCCAGAAAGGCAGCTATCTCCACACAGGATCTTCTTTTTGGTCACCCCTCCTTCCAAGCCCTTGGTTCCCTGATTGCTTAGCTTGGCAGGCAGCCAGCATTACAAAATGATCCCATTTGTTCCTAATGTCTGTTTAAGAAATATGGGGGGCTAGTGGGAATCTTCAGTGCAGCAGGAATGTTTTTGTTGTCTTCGTCAGATTGGTGCCTCAGCATTCTCTACATGCAGTTTATTTGGACTGGTACTGTGAAGAAAAATTGCATTTCTTGTTATATTATACTGGGGTTAATTGGTGAGTGGAAAAAATATATTAACAGTTTTGGCATATGCAAAAATGCCTCCTAGGTTTGCCAAATATAAGGCCTGGGGGACAGAGTTGGCCAAGTAAATACTCAAATCCGCCCACTAAAAGTATGAAGGTATGCATCAATTTTGATTTTTTTTTAACTGTAGTTGTAAAACCAGTTTTTCAACTTATCCTGCTGATTGATTCCTTCATACGGAATCAAAGTAATTAACTAACATAATTAAACGACAGGGAAGTTTCTGTATTTTCACTATAAGGACATTTTCATTAATGCAAACTTCATATTTTATAAGTACTGGATAGTCTGGGCAATACAGATTTATCATATAGTTTTACTTTGATCTTTACCCCTTAAGATTAAAGTGGGCTGCCTTTGTGTATAATGAGTTTGACATCCTTGGTTTGCACCTCGAAGTTGATGATTCTGTTCAGAGTTCTTGTTTTGAGCAGTAACTTAAAATAAGATGCAGAATTTCCTTTGAAGCCAAAAGAAAGAGCATAAAAATAAGCACGTTCCTTTGTGTAAATATATGGTAAGATCCTGTGGCGAAAGTGTTATTTAACACTTAGATACTTACAGTAAAGCAGCCAGTATGCTTCTGCAGCTGGTTGATCCAGTCTTACAACATTTGACACTTTTCTTGTTTTTAAGGCATTTGTGGGACTTTGTTTGATCGCACTGCAGCTGCAATGGAGTGCAAGTTGGGTTTATAGACTAAAAAAAACTGATTAAACTTGTGAAACACGCTCTACCACTTGAAGTAATTTTGCAAACCTCAATTTTAGAGTTGAAGAATTAAAGACTGATTAATGCAGGTTCAGGACTAAACCCTGTGAAATCCCTGCTTCTGAGTCATTTTTTTCAAACTTGCAACTCTGCAAGGTCCCAGAACCGACTCTTAGCAACGACTCTTTTAAATGTGACAACCGCGGTGTCTTTGTGTACTTGTGGTGGGCGACGCTTTGCTTGAAGATGACACATTATTTGGTTAGTATTGTTTAGAATCAGGAAATGTGAGTGGCCATGGAATGGCCATAGCTTTTATACTGGGCTCCATCATGTGTGATTAATGACTGAGTGTTTCAGACCCAGCTCGGTCACTTCTTAGGAGCTTAACCCAGTTACTGCTAACAATGTGTACAGGTCACAGATAAACTTGGTGTGTAAATGAGTCACATTTAGCACCTGACTGTGAGCTATGTGTTTTTCCCCCTCAAGCTGTTAAGCTTTTACATTTGTGTGTGTGAGTGAGTGTGAGTCACTGTGTTTGGGATGTGCAGAATGAGATAAAGGAAGTTGTTTAGTTTGTAGTTTTAAAAGCAGCTGCTTGTCCTCCTCCCTGATGGCTCCATTTTCTGCTCTTTTCTTATCTCTCTCTTGGGTCTTTGGGACCTATAGAGGACGTGATCTGTTGGACTTTCCTACAGCTTTCATCCCCCCCCCTCCCACAAACCCACACACACACACCACTCCACCCCCATTTCAGAGGTGATTACTTAAATGGCTGCTCTACTTGTTTGTTTTTTTCCTGTTCATGAGAAAAATACAGATGAGCATTGCTTCTGCTTGGGTGTGCCTTTCAGAAATTGTACACTCTGCACATGTGTCAGCTGGTGACAAAAATGGTGATGTAAGTGTGCAAGAGTGTGAAATGAAGACAAAAACATGCTTGCACACTCTGTGAGTGCAGCAGCACCCTTAGCTAATTCAGGGTCATTTATCTACTCCTGGCTTTTTAACCCCACTTCTCTTGCTCGCTTTCTTCTTTGTTTTTACTTTTCTCCTTAATGTGACATCATTACTTACTGATTTAACTGGAATGTGCTGTAACTCCACCCCTCCCTCTGTTTTCCTCCTCCTCCTTCTCCTCCTGTCCTACACATTGTTTGGCTCTGACCGCTGAAGAAATTTGATCACTTCACTCCTTGCTCTTTTTTTCTTATTTGCAAGTCGTTTATATTTTTTATAATTTTCTTTTTGATATGAGCTTCAGACTTTTACATTTGCAACTTTTCCGGGCTGTCTTTGTCAACTGACATTCAAATAGCGGACTGACTGACGGGAACTGAAAACTTCCAGGTTGGGCTATGTATAAGAGGGGAGCTGTAGGACAGGGTAGTGAAAATATGCCTTGTTTTTACAGCTCTCTGAGTCCTTTTAGGCTAGCTCTGTTAAGAAAAAGAGCACAACCTTGCATTTCAGTGGCGGTTCGTTTAAAGCGATGTGTGGAAGTGGATTGTAGATCTCTGACAGTATGTGTGTGCAGTCATGTGCTTGAATGTGTCTGTGGGAAACATTTTTGTGTTGACACTATGAGGACTGCAGCACTGCAGCTCTGTGTTAGTGAGACATTAGAGCTATTGTGTGTCTGTGTGTGTATGGTTTTTTTGTTTTTGTTTTTTATCTCTGGAGTGAGCTGCAACACATTGAAATGCACATGAATTTGCCTGCGTGGGCATGGTTGTGTGCCTTTTCTGTATTTGGTCTGTACTGCTTTCTTTTTGTGTGCTTGTATGTTTCCATCTGTAAATCATGATCGTCGTCTCCTGTTTTGTCTCTTTTGGTTCTTCCTCTGTTGTTACTGTGGCTTCCTAATTTTTCTCAGTTGCATCAAGTAGTGAACTCTAGCTGTGACCACAGTTTTACACTGGGTTTCTTATTCCCTGGAAAAACCATACTCTGCATTTCCTTCTTACAGAAACAAAACAGATGCAGTTGTAGGCACAACTGCATCTGTTTTTAGAAGACATCTATTGAATGTTAGTCACCTGCATGTTAAGAATAAAGTAACAGTCATCCATGAGTTGTTCTTCCTCTGTGGCGTTGCCATCTTCCTGTTAAACAGTTTGAAGCTTTTTATGGCCTTTAGGTTGACATTAAAGGCTTTGTTGGCTCGTGGTTTCCTTGAAAGGGAAGAAGTGACACAGCATAGATGACGTTTCATAATGAAGTGCACAGTGTGACATAGAGTTGTTTAATGCAGACAGTTTGATAGTCCCTCTGTGTTTGTGCTGTGTTTGAGTTGGGGATAGTTGTCATAGTTTAACTTTTTTCATAACTTTGTGGCTATTTTAGTGACATTTGAGAAAATAAAGCAATCGGTTATTGAAAAGTTGACGGCCACTCTCTTTTCCCAGGTCTCCTTGACTGTTTGCTGTTGGCTATCAGCATGTTGTTGTTAGTTTGCTATGATAAAATACCAACTAAGGTACAGGATTAAAAATCTCTTTACGGCCTTGTTTTTTATGCTTTTAAAGTTTTGTAATTGGATTCCTTATAAGAAGAGCTCTTCATCGCATACCTTCTCCTTTTGTTTTCTGCTTTTGCTCATTCTTCCTATTTAATTCTTCTGTTTTCCGACCATTCCCATCATGTCCTCATTCACACTTTAGGATTTCGTGTTATAAATCCTTTCGATTTCTACAGGGAGATTGGCTCAACATGTGATCTCCTTTCTTGTTTATTTTGCTGTGCTTTTTTTTTTCCCTCCCTCCTTTTTTTTTTGTCTGGAACTCTGAAGGAAAATGATTTTTCCTTCAAATCATTTTTTTTCTCTGCCCTCCTTTTTCTGTCTGGATTTTCACCTCCCTGACCATCTCTCTCTCTCTTTAAGCTACACACGGTGAGGTAATGATGGAACATATGCGAATAGCTCTTTCTCATCTGGATTGAATATATGCACGTACATACACATCTGTAAGTGTGGGTGTAGTTTGGGGTATTTTGTGCTAAAGTCTACACAGCAAAGCCTGCATGTGTTAGTATCGCTGTCTGTACATAGGTTGAGTTTCTAGCCAAAAACAATCTGTCTCTGATTAATGTGGCTGACTGAAATGCTTTCATCTTCTTTTCACAATATTTTTCTTTCTTCCTTTCCCTCCCTCATCTTCCTTTTCCTCCAGTTCAGCCCCATACAAATGCAGAGGCCAGATGGAGGCCTATGTTTTTTGTTGGCTTTTTTTTTTTTTGACACGCCCAGATAAAAATCTCTCTGTCTCTCTTGGGAAATTCTGCAAGATTCTTGAATTCCCTTCTCTCTGTGTGCGTTATTACATTACTGCCTGTTTCATCGGCAGCAGATGTTGAAGGGTGAGGTTTCTTAACACTCAAACAGCCCATTTCCTCATTGTACTTCATTGTGATGGGTTCAATTTTCCTGGACAGAAGAAAAGGCTGTTGTCATATTACTGTACACTGGCTCTTTGCACAGCGTAGGTGTCCACATGTATGTCCACATGGGATGAAGCAGAGCACTGATTTTTTTCCTCTGTTCTTTGTGCAACTGCTTTGTGCTTGTGGTCAAACAAGAGTTCGGATGACTGTGTTTGTTGGGCTGCAGTGGCATCTTCATTGCAGGCCGGTACAGCTAAACTGTGTGGTCATTTTGATGTTGTTGACCAAAAGTGGAAAAATTTGGTTGCCATCAGTGATAAAGAGCAGGTTACACCCATCTTTTTATTTGTTGTATATAGTTTTATAACATTTTCAAGTTGCCTTAAATCTTTTTAAAGATTTAAAGACCAAAAACTTCATCTACTTGGGCATGAAAACCAGATCATGGATGGATTTTTAAGGAAAAATACAGCCTGTTTTACTGATTTTGGGCCTCACCCTGGACAAAAAAATTACTAGTGATATTTTAAGCAGCTCTTTAGAGCGCCCTGAATTTTGTTTGCCAAATCTTTCAGTGCTTGACCCTGTCTGCAGCTGCACTCCGACTCATTGGACTGAAACAAAGCCAGACTGCGTAATGTCTCAGGATCTGTGGCTTTGGGAATGGGAAGTGCTGTCACTCTGGCAAACAACCCCATTTATAATTCTTGATGTTTTAAATTCTCTCAACTCATCGGTGCTTTGGCAGTTTGTCTTTGTGTTTTTTGGGTTTGTGTGGGTGTATCTTTTGCAATTCTAATCTTTGCTAATTGCCTTGTTTGTTTGTGTGCGTGTGTGCGTAAGCTCAATAGTGCTTAAATAGAGGAGGGGCTCTGTCTGTGTGTGTGTGTGCACTGGGGAATTTCTCAGTCAGACCCAAAAGAGCTTATTACGTTTAACTGAAGACAGACATGCATGGGTGTGTATTCTCTCTTCTTCTTTCCTTGTGCTCAGGGTTAGTTTGTTTGTTGTTTATAGTCTAAAGAAGTGTTGTGGAACTTATTTATATGAGTGAACACCAGTTATATTCATCATCGTTCCAGCGAGTTAGCACAATGCTGATTACGTCTTTCTCAACTTGTGCTGCATTCCACCTGCCTGAGTTTTAAATTCCTTCGCTGGTTTACCAGTAATGGCACATCAGTCATCGCTCATGAGCTATTAATAAGGAGAGATGATGGCAACAGAAATATGACACAAAAGCTTCTTTGTTAGCACGTTAAAAATGTTTGTGTGATCACTGCCAGGAAAGTTCCCTACTGCAGGTAAAGACATCTGGACCTGTCACGATAGTTCTGTCCTTGGTGGTGTTGTCGGGGGTTAAATGAGACGTGTAATATCAGGGTGCGTGTAGATTTTAGGGTTGCCGCAGCGGTACGTATGCCTACATTGCAAAGCAGACATTTTTTTTTCTTCTAAAGATTAGTTTTTGGGCATATTTAGTCTTTATTTGACAGTAGAGCAGCGAAGACAGACAGAAAAACCAGATGAGAGAGAGAGAAAGCGAGGACACGCAGCACAGGGCCGCAGGTCAGACTCAAACCCAGACCACTGCACTTTAGCCATGTGTCATATAGTTACCTTCTCACCCACTGAGCTAAACAGGCTCCCGAAAGTCTGAGCCTTCCTATGAGATTCAAGAATGCTCCGCTTACAAAAATATATTTTAAAAAAAATAAAATAAAAAATTCTGTTTTGTTTTTTTGTTTTTAGATTTCCATTCAGATCAGGTTTTTGACACTAGTCCTTTGTGTCTCCAGCTTAACCTTTTGCTGCACAGCTTCCATTACATCCAAGGATGTAATAAAATTACTGAAGATTCCTTCAAGTTATATCAGTGACGAGGAAACAACTGCAAACAATTGTGCAGTCATGCACAAAGAGTACAAAGTGATAAATACATAAGCTAGGACTTATAATCTAATCATTCCAAAATGGCTCGAGGACACCTGAGAATACTTTGTATATAGTTTAACCAGAGTAATCTACAGTTGCGGTAAATCCCAAAATAAAATGAGTGGAGATTGCTCTTGACACTGCAATGTTTGTTATTCAATGAAAACACAGAGTATACTTTAATGGTTTTTAAATCTATTTGGAAGGAGGAGTGGAGCAGTGTTGACAGTAAAGCATGAGGGTTCTTGGGCAAAAGGCCGTGCAGGTTTTAAAGCCCACATACGCTGACAGACAAACACGCAGTTTGTTTGGTGTGCAGAAGTTCACTTCATTCTGAAAACTGAAAGAACTTCAAACAACATGATTCGAACCTTTTCAGCTGCAGCAGGATCACAGTATTAAAACCCTTTGTTAGTTTTTTCATTAGTCTTGTATTGTAGATTTCTTTCTTAAAAAGAACAAAAGCAACTCCTTTTTCTTTATTACCTAAATGCTTCTCAAGTCGACGCTCTCATCCTCTCCTTCCTTGTCTTAATTTTATCTCACACCCTCATTTCCTTCCCTGCTTTGCTTTAATTGTTGTCCATGTTTAACTGTGTTAAGTCATAGTTAATGTTGATCCAACCTCTTTGGTCTCCTACTTTCTGAGCAATGCAGTTTTTTTTTTTTTTTTATATGTCTATAACAAATAAATGATATGTCTGCATTTGGAGGTAAAATGAATTTCAGTTCAATACTTGCACTATAAAGCTAGAAGTCGTTGCCAAGAAACGGTACACAGTTGTTTCCGCCTGTTATTTTTGTACACGAGCGTTTACTCGTGTGTCTCCTTGTCTGTTGCTCTCCCCTTTTCTCCAGGCTCTTTGTATAAATGTGCAGTGCAGCGATGTACTGGAGACGCTGAGCCTGATTTTCTGCGGTGCAGATGTGAATTGTTCAACTGGGCTGGAAAGTCAACTCTCCCCCCTCTCCTTGGCCACCGCACACTCGCAACCCCTACAGGCCGAGTTATTGAACCATAATCTGAACACAGGTACAGTATGCGTGCAAGCTCAGGGTCCCAAGCACACATTTGTTTTGAATGGACTGAGTAGAGCTTTCATGAAAGAGTTTGTTAAAGTATTGATTTAAAAAAAATAACATGTTTTTTCACAAAGCACTTGTCGAAACACAGCGTGCTTTATAGGCAGGCAGATTCTGGAAACGAGAACGGACTGGAGGGATACGTTAAAAAGGATCTTATACAAAGCAGTTGGCTTTGTAATTTGGATCCTCTGTTAGGTCATTCAAAAATTGTGTTTCCCTGACATTAAAATTGTTTTTGCTTCAGTAATCAACAGGATCTTGAAATAATGAGTGGACCCTTAATATCAATTCTGCAATCCAAGAAGTTTGAATGCTTATTAAGCTCTAAGTGAGAGCAGAATGCAGCGATTTACTGAACCTGTAATCAGCTGAACAGTGTTTCCCCAGTCTTGCTTCACATAGGAGGTGCTCCTTGTTGCTTGTCTTGTGTCTTTCATTTTCTAAATGTGTGACATGTTTTTAGTGGGTCACAGGTCTGGATTGCAGGCAGGCTAGTTTAGAGGCATGTTGTTGGTGTAAAGCATGTTTAGCTTTCGTTTAAGAGCCCCCTGATTCTAGTTAACAGCACTTTTAAAAAGTCATTGACTCAGTCTTGCAGACATCAAAAGTCTCAATAAACACTCCCATCAAAGCCTCATCAGGCAAGTTGTAATACTATATCATTTGTTAGTTGACATTTTCTTCTAAAGTCTACTTTTTATTTTATAGCGAACTAAGATGTGGTTTAGGTTAGTTTTTAGTTAACTATAATAATCTTGGTATTAGCAATGAGGTAATTTAGAAATTGGTTGATATTTGGTGACGTCAGATGGATCAAGGCACTGACATTTTAAGAGTGGGTGACTACAGTCATAGCAAAACATAGTTCAACTATGAGGTAAGAACTCAAAGCAGAGTGTTGAGAAACGAGGGAGGGGCCATTTCAACAGGGTTTAAAAGTTTAAGAGACCGTAAGAGTGTGTCGTAAACACTTCTTTACTTTCATACAATCAAATTCTTTACAATGTTTTTCTGTAGAGCTACCACGGTTAGAGGAGGTGGATGCTATGGACCCAGAACCTTACCCACTACCTCCTTCCGTGTCTCACAATGGCTTCTTATTTAAAACTGCATCCATGGCTCGGCCAGTCACAGAGCGCAAGGCCAAAGAGGGTAAGCACAAACACTCTACAACAGCAACACTTACCACAAGAAGAAAGAATAGTTAAAGTGATTATCACTATTATGCTTGGCAAATATTTATTTGTCTATCAATATAGAGTTCAGTCGTCGCTGGTGCACGCTAAATGATGGCGTTTTCAGCTACTACGAAAGTGACAAGAACTCAAACCCAAATGGAGCTCTCAAGGCTTCAGAGATCGTGTGTTTGGCTTCCGACAACGAAGACAGACATGGGTACGCAAACACCCACACACTGTCCGTCGTAAATGCACATTTACAGCAAAAATGCAATGACACCTTGTAATGTTAAGCGAGATGAATCGTATGTCTCCTCCTTCTCTTTCTTAAATTTCCCAGTGTCTGCTCTTCTAACCTCCTTTTTTTTTTTTTTTCTCCAACCCCCAGGTATAACAATACATTTGAAATTTATACAGAGTCTGAGCGTCTCTACCTGTTTGGCACCGATGACTCAGAAGTCAAATCCCAGTGGGTCAAGTCTATCGCCAAGGTAACAATCAAATACATATATTCAGCTTAACGGAGAGATTTGTGATTTTTCTTTATTTCTAGTCAAATAAGAAAGCTCTTATAAGTGGTGTTAGCAGATTAAGCTTGGTGTCAGTGATCAGGACAGTGCTCGCTGTTGTTTATTTTATCAAAGCACAACTTTCTTTACGACTGACGTGATCGTGTGAAATGAAACAACAGTCATTTTATCTCAACGGCTGAAAGGGCAAAGTGTGTGCACTCAAATTTCATTAGTTATTGTGAGACCAGTCATATGTGTCAGAGTTATGCACAAGGTCATGAACAACCTGTGACACAACCAGTTTCGTGGAGGATTGTCTCTTTCCACAGCTCTTGGGGAGAAGGCCGAGATAGTAACTGGACAGAATGTAACCAGAATCGAGGCTGAATTTGTTGCCGCCCACACTGTGTTCTTCAAGCAGTGACAAATAGTATTCGTTTTTAAAAGCTTGAATTTAAATGAAATAAAATAAAATGTAGCTCATAATAAAAAAAGAAGGGCAAGGACGATTTGGTGCAAACCCTGGTTTGAGACCAGGAGGAGGCACAGATCCCTTGGGGATTGCGTCAGGAAGATCCTTAGGCGTAAAAATCTGCCAGATCAAAATATGTGGAGCTCTTTCCCGTTGTTGAAAAGGGAGCAGCCTAAAGAAGCTTCAGTACAAACGCCGTATGTCCTTTGCTTGTAGGCCTTTATTCCAGTCTCTGCAGAACCTTTGCTGAGATTGAATTTTGAGAGGATTGGGAAGCTGATGTGCAAAGATGGCTTGAACCTACAAAGGTCCAAAGTTGGGTGGTTTGCTCTGGAGGGGTCTGTACTTCACGTTTACCTGGAGGGCAGTCAGGTGGAGGAGATCCACCTCCGCAAACTGAACGAACTATGTGAGTAAGACACGCAAACATGGATTTAATCACTGTGTGAGTGCTCAGCGATTAGAGCACAACAGTTCTTACCCTGTATTTGTGTTTTACAGCAATTCAGCAAGACAATGAAGTCATGGTTCTGGTGGGGAAAGGCAGGTGAGAACGGATCATTTGCACACTGATTGACAAATTATTCTTACAGTTTGAAACCCCTTTAAAGATTAACCTGTTTATTTTTTATAGATATTCCTAATGATGAAACAGTTTTCCCTCACATACTCATCTATTAATTCTTCTTTATTTGTTTCTTCTTCTCTTTTTTTAGAACTCTGTACATAGAAGGAAAGAGAAAGCTGGATTTTTCTTGCTGGTGTGCAGCTATCCAGGCAGCTGCAGGGAGTGGAGGAGACAGGCTGCACGAGCAGCAGCTCACGGAGACGGACATACCGGTGATCGTAGATAGCTGCATTAACTACATCACACAGTGTGGTAAGAAACACACACTCACACACACATAAGAAACCATTTTTGTGAAGTAAATATGTACTTCATGCATCTTTAGTTTTGTTTATTGTGTTACATTTTGACAGTGCACTATAAAACATTCACACATATATGCAACATTACCTCATAACAAACCAAAGACGACTCCTTACAGCACAAGTCATACCTCATATCATGGTAAGCATTGATAATATAACATTTGCATAACATAAAATTTAGGTAACCATCATAGTTCAGCACACAAACAAAAATCCAGGCTCTTGGTTCAGCATGAACTGTAACCTTTTCTACCGTTCTCTGAACTATGTGGCTACAATAGTTGGACCTTAAGTTTACTGTGTTAAATTCCACTGGATCTATCCACGGAAGAACCATCTTCCTCCTCATCTTTTATATAGCTGTACAGCTTGAACATTGGTTTCACCAGAGTGGCAGAGTTGCTTGTGCTACATCTCTTGCATGAGTTCACAGCTTGAAAAACTTGACATGTACAGCAGTTCAAAGTAGACAAAGATAAAATAGAGGAAATAACATGACTCTTATTTCCTCGAGTGGACATGGGCCTAACTTGCTCTCAGTGTGGTGTGTGAGGTCCATTGTTTTAATTATCTGCACTCATTGTAGAGAAGTGCAGCTGCATCACACTTCTCTCTTTGTGGGTTGACACCGTTTGACATATTGGCCTTCTGGCCTCACCACTAGCTGCTCTGCTCATGTGATTTTTTTTTTTTTCTTTCTTTTTTCCCCTCGTTGTTGTTTTTGCTTTGCCTTCAGATGTCAGTCAGCTCAATGTTTCCAAGCCCTCAGAGACCAATCGTTGCAGTGTTGAGGCGAAACACTTGATGCATTAAATGTTCTGAATGTTGGAAGATGCAATATAACGATTAAGTTTGAGGAACTTTTGTTTTCTTTTGTCAGTGGTGAAAGAGCTGTTTCTTCCGGTTTAAGTCTGTGTTTGTGTAACATTCTACTCTGTGTGTTTTTGTGTGTGCTTGTTAATGTCCCATCTCTAGGTATGGTGTCAGAGGGAATTTATCGCAAGAGCGGCGTGAACTCTCGTGTGGCAGCTCTGTGCGAGAGGTTTCGTCACGATGCTCGCAGCCTTTGCCTAAGGGAAGGAGAGCATCAGGTGGACGACGTCTCTAACACACTCAAACGGTTTTTCAGGGAGTTGAAAGAGGGAGTGTTCACAACACAGGACTCCCCCTCCTGGCTCAGCACTGCAAGTAAGAGTCATACGATTTTGTTTCTTCATGATTCCTATGTTTCTTATTATTTTACGAGCTTTGAGTATCCTGTAAAACATGTATAGATCAGACACCTGTGGCTCTCCTTAAAAGGGGCAAATTAGTTTTTCTGATGTTTTGATATCATGATACTGCATCTGCTGAGAGACACACTGACAGGCCAGTTTGGAGCCATGCTGTTCTAAAACCTGAGCTGGTTTAGTATTGCCATGCCAAAACAAGCAAGGCCTTCCTGGATTAAGAAGTCATCTGTGTGGCGGATGACCTGTCATGGTCCCTTTACAGACATGCATTTTGTGGCATTTAGCATGTGAATACATTACAAAATTATTAGCCGAAAATCAATGTCACTGTGCTTTTTTTTTTTTTTTAACAGGGCAGCAAATTTCAACATAGCAATTCTATTTTCAAATTTCTGTTTGCACACAATAACAGAATTATTTTGGAGAAAAACAATAACTAACAGGCTCATGTTATGACCCTGAGCCTTATGAGCCTTAGTACAAACCATTGCTGTGAATTAATGTGCTTTAACTTAAACTTTGTACCCTTATAGACTGTTTGAGCAGTCACTTGAGAAAGCATCATGTCAAAAACACAAGAAAGCAGTTTAGACTTGTGATAAAGAGTTATGGCTGCTCATAAAGCAGAGATGGATATACATCGTTATCACAGTGTTTCCAAGTGTCAAGAACTGGAGTGAGAACTATCATTAGGAAAGTGACACACAGCACACAACAAGCCTGACAGAGGCAGGAAGTGAAAGATTCATTAAAGGAAAACCTGGGAGAGATGTGTCCAAAGACCACAGAACAACTGTCAAGACACTCATGAATAACTTAGTCGACTTGGATTTCCTACTCTCAAAGAAGACTAGAAACCTGCGCAGGAACCATGAGGTTGCAGATGAAGGAAAAGTCCACTTCTGCAGAAGACGTACCTTCAAGACAGACTAAAGCATGCTAAGGACAACCTGAAGAAACATTATGCATATGGGAGTGTGTCCTTTTGTCAGATGAGATGAGACGAAACAAAGGCTCTGTAGCCACAGTGACTTATGTTTGGAGAAAAAATGGAGAGGCGTCAACCCATAGAACACCGTCCCCGCAGTGAAGCATGGTGGTGGGACTATTATGCTGTGGAGATGCTTCATAACGTCTGGAAGTGGGCATCTTGTCAAAATGGAAGGAAGAGTGAAGGATATGTGAAGATTTTGAAAGAAAACCTCAAACAGTTGGCAGCAAACCTGGATCTCAGTCATCACTTTGTCCTCCAACACAACAGTGACTCAAAACATACATCGAACCTGATGAACAACTACCAGCCTGTGTAAAGCTTTAGAGAGTCTCGCTCGGGAGACGAGTGTGGGTCTTGTTGACAACTACAGCAAATGACAGCAGGCTGTTTTCCAGTAAAAAGGATTTGCAAATAACTATTAATAACCTTGACCCTGGTAGTTTTTGTTTTTTGTGAAACAATTTAGTTTCTGTGTGCAATGTAAAAAATAAAAACAAAAAACTAAACATCCAAAACAAAACTAGGATGTTTGGGAAAGCTGTGTTTTAAAAATCGCTTGCTATGTTTAACAGAAACCTTTTAATTTTTTTGTGTAAGTTTTAAACTTTCATGAGGAGGGTCCTCATCTGTCCTCATCTGTCCTCATCTGTAGCTTTTAGTCCCTCTGCACTTTAATCTAGTTTACAAGGAAGGACCACAACCCTTTTATATTTTATCTTGGGTTTGGGTGTTTAGTGTTGATGTTGGGCGTCATTGTTTAAGGATTTTTCAACAATCGAAATTATTGCAGTACATAACTGCCTCTTACTATTTGTAGTCTTACACCGAAAACAGCTTTTAGCACAACTTTTCCAGTCTTTTTTGCCCCAGTAACATAAGCATTTGACAATGTACTGGTTTCAAATTGAAAATGATCATATAATGCTAGTATTGCAGGGATTTAATGATATGTTTGTCATTGTAATTCTAGTGTTTTGTTTTTTTTAACACTGAAGCTAAATTGAGCATACAGTGCAAAGAGAATGAGTTTAAAGATATGCTGCCGCTGTGTGTCTGGTACCATCATCTTGTTATTGTTTTCAACCAAAGACCTACACACTGCTGGCCATTTTTTAATATATACATGCCAGTTTAAACAAAAATGCTCTTTGTTTTAGAAGTCTAGAGTCCTTTTTCATCAGGCCTCTTTTCAGCCTTTCTCCCTGTTTTGATCTTTTGTGCTCTCGTCCTGTGCTTTTTTTTTTTTTTTTTCCTCGTTCCATCTTACATTCCCAGCTCTTTCTTTGATCCTGGCCGTTTGTACTATAAATATCCTCTGTGTTCATAATTTTATTTAATAATTTTACTTTTCTCCTCATCTTCTTCTCTCTTCCCCAGCCATTCAGGATGAAAGTACTAAAATCTCCCAGTACAAGAAGTTCTTGAACAAACTGCCTCATGTCAACAAGGCAACACTACAAACCCTTATCAAGCATCTCTACTGGTGAGAACTGATACACAGTGACTGATACCATCTTATCACCTCTCCCTGAGTATGTATTTGTGCACAGACTTGTGTGGGGTTTTTTTACCGCTTGTGTTTCAGCGTGCAGCACTTTTCGGATGAAAACCAGATGAACAACCATAATCTGGCCATCGTGTTCGGTCCCACACTGTTCCAGACTGACGGGAAGGACTATGCCGCTGGCCGCGCCATTGAAGACCTCATTGAGCACTACAAACTCATCTTTGAGGTCAGTGCTGATAACAAAGGTGGTAATGCTTCTATGCTAACACATCAGGGATTTAAAAACACTTTTCAGTGGTGTAGAGGTCTAAGTGTTCGTCTTATCTTTTTATCTTAAAGATCAAGCTTCACTGTGATTACAACACAATGTTCTCCTTGCATGCAGTGATTCTGCACTTTGAAGTATCAGTGCAGATTTTAAATGTTGATACATTTTTATTTGTGGTTGAATTACTCTGCGTATGCTCTCTTGCAGGTGGATGAGCAGCAGCTGAACAAGCAGATAGAAGTGATTGAAGTTATCCACAAAATGCGGAATTTGAAAAATGTGAGCAACATACAATAAACTTTAAACAAAGAATGGTTCAGTGACCTGACATATTTCAGAGGCAAGATTTAGGAAAATCATTGAAAATATTACAATATAAACGCAGAACTAAAACTAAGAATATTTCTTCTATATTTTTAGTTTAGTTTTTCAAATTGTGTCACTTAGAATTTTTTTCAGAAGTCCAGCTTTGGTAAAAGTGTGAATTTTTTCCCATGCAGTTTCAGTTTTTAGCTTAGTTTTAGTTAATTATAATAAACTTGGTGGATTTCTTCGGTGAGATTAAACAGTCATTTCCACAGCCATCATCAGAACATATCAGCAAATGAAGGAAATTCTTCTGGATCGGTTTTCTATCCCGCTGGGATACATCATATTTCCAAAAGCCATCACACACACACGAACTTGATTGACATCCCAATCTTAATCTATAGGGTTTAATAGGCTTTCCACAACATTCAGGAGAGTGTTTATGGGAATTTTTGACCAGAATCACATTTGTGAGGTCAGATGCTAATGTTGGATGTCAAGCGGCTTGCAGTTTGTAATTCATCCTGAATGTGTTAAGGGTTCATTACTGAAACTAAGGCGCCGAACCCAAGTCTTAGAAAAGCAACCACTCACCATAATCCCCCCTCCACCACACTTTACACTTAAACTAGAAATTAACATAATAAATTATCACCTGCCTGTGTAATTAACCATTTTTATTATTTAGTTCATCTCAGTGAAATGTGTTGTGTGAAGTGTTTCGACTTGTTTGAACACTGCATTTGGTTATCTGTGTATACGCTTTTTTATCATCGCAGTTTTTCTGTCTGATCATTTGTTTGCTTGTGTGCCCTAAGCTTCAGCCTCCTTCTGAACGAGGAGGTGACTTCATTTGTACCGTGTACCTGGAGGAAAAGGCCAGTGGAGAGAGACATGTGAAGGTGGGTTGGAATTCACCAAATAACACATTTATTTATTTAACAACCCAGTTCTTTCATCTGGCACACATCAAGTTCCACAGTAACGAACAGGCTGGTGTTTATAGAAAACAAATATTTCCACTCTTCCCACAGATTCCTGGTTCTATGACAGCATTAGAGCTCACACTGGAGATTCTGGACCAGCGTAACATCCCAATTAAAGACAAAGATTACTGGAGCTGCTGGGAGATCTGCTGCAAGGAAGAAATGGGTAAGACTGATTAAAAAGATGAAGGGAGGCAGGACAAATGCCAAACAGCATTTGTTTTTTATGCTGATGCAGATTTAGAATTTATAGGGTATTTTGTAAAACTCTGTCTTAATTATTCTGTTTTTTTTTTTTCATTAATATGGTACAGGGCTATTTTGCTTTGGAAAATGACAGTTTACTAGGACTAATGCAAAAAAAAAAAAATTGCCTGCAACAGTGTGGCTGCAAACTGCAGTTTGTTTTGCATCTGGTATGTGACCTGTCTGGTTCCCTACAAGGAAGCGACAGTATGAAAATGACAGTAGCAGTAATCTGCAGATTAAAGAGGAAATGGAGCAGTAATGATGAGAAATTGAAGGAAATTGTTGTTGTTGATGGGAAGAGAAGGAAGGAATTTACTGCTACAGACGGTGTCATTTACTACAGATTGGTATGTAGATTTACAAAACAAAATTCTTCCAGGATGTAAGGTGAGATTTACGGAAATATGTATTTATAGCATCTAAAAATATGAAGCTGTACCAGTTATGTCATCAAGCGCTCAGCATGTTTGTCTGACACTTTGACCCTATTGAGGAATGCAGATTTGCAAAGTTCTTTGTCATCCAGAAATGCCCCAAGTTTGCATCATGTTTTCACACATGCTCTCTTTCTGCCTGCTCTGTTTTTCAGAACGACCGCTGCACTATCAGGAGCGAGTCTTGCCCATTGTTCACTCCATCGGCACAGAGTCTCATCTGCTTATCAAGAAACATGCTGCAATGGAGGCCATCACTCTTTACCTGTGTAAATACAAAACAACAGAATCATTGCTGCACTGTTTGGTCTTCCACATTGTGGCATGCTTGCATCAATTTCAGTTATCTGGCCTTCTGTCCTGCAGCCAGTAAACCGGATGCATCCAAGCACGGGATGATAAAATTCAGAGAGGAGCGAAGCATCTTGGGTTTGGGCCTCACCAGTTTTCATGAGCGTTATTTCATCCTCAATTACAACTCGCTCAGAATGTACAAGGACGTCAGAGTAAGATCTACAGACATACTTTTATCGTTTTATTTGTTATCTCCTTCGTAGACTCGTTAACTAATTTTTCCTTTTTTCCCCCCACTGTCTGTCAGAGTAACCGTCCAGAACGTGAATGGCCAGTGAAAAACTTGAAGGTTTACCTTGGTATAAAGAAGAAACTCCGTCCTCCCACATGGTGAGCACCTGTGCTGAATTACCAGTGTCACGCTATTCTCATGAGTGCTTAGTGGCAAAGCAGCAGGTGGCTGCTGTAAATGGAAACTGCTGTCACACCAGGAGGAAGACTGGCCATGCAAATTATCGCTTCAGTGGGCACAAAAAATGTATTTACTGGGAATAACAATTTTCTGGGATTATCTGATCATGAATAATTGGATATCTGGCCACTCATTCTCCAGCTTTATACAAGTGTAACACCTCTGCACTACATTGCTGTTGGCGGGAGCAGCTAGTGCTACCCCTACTGATCAAAATGCATCTTTTTGATCTCAAATTACCTCAGTTTTGTTAGCTTGAACCAAATTGCTTGATGCCCTTGAGCTTCCTTGTTTCATAACTTTAAAAGTTTACACAGAGCAACTTCTGCAGCTCGGCTCATGCTTAAAGGGATAATTAACGACTAAACTTAAATTATTAATTTACGAACTCTACAGTTTCTTTATCTGAAGTAGCTGTTTGGGCCTTGTAAGCAGAGTGACCACTAGGGGGCAGGCTGACACTGTGAATCCTGAGAAGCTGGATTGCTGTTAAAGTGATTTGTATGTTTATTTTTAGTTGGGGACTGACAGTTCTGTATGAGAGCATGAAACAAGAGAAGCCCGAGAGACAGCAGTGGTGAGTACTTATTCAGTGCTCTCTTTTTTATAATACACAACTTTCAGGCTCTGATTACGTCACCAGCAATGTTGGTTTATTGGCTGGAAAAATAAGTAATACCGAAAACAAACAGCCGCAGGAGCATTTTTTTTCCGCTAATTGGCTTGATTTGCAACAGGTCAGTAACTTGATCGGGTATAAAAAGAGCATCTTAGGCAGAGATTCTCCATTATGCAAAAAACACTCTACAAATTGTGCAATAATTTCAGAAAAATGTTCCTCAATCTAAAAATGAAAAGCCTGTGAATATCCCATCATCTACATAATCTATGGCCCATAATAACTTCAGAAGATTTAGGAAATCTGCAGAAATCTCCGTATGTAAGGGACAAGGTCAAAAATCATGCCTGTAAATGCCTGTAAGCTGCTTGCTTGGGCTCAGGAAGACTTCCAGAAATCATTATCTGTGAGCACAGCTCATCGTGCGGTTCATGAATGCAGGTTAAAGCGCTATCGTGCAAAGAACCAGACACACATGAAGATGTGAATGGACTGAGACAAAGTGGAAAACTGTTCTGTTGTCAGAATGATTAGCATTGTGCAAAACATGGACACTGCAGTCTCTAGATTAAAGCAGAGAGGGACCTCCGTGCTCATGTCTGTTGGTACCTGCATGCATTAATACCTATATACATACAATACATACTTACTTACATACATAGAACTGGCAGCTGGCACATCTGGAAAGACACAATTAATGATGAAAGATGTCCAGAGGTTTTAGTTTATCACATGCTCCCATCCAGAAAGCCTTTCAGGGGATGCCTTGCATATTTCAGCAAGATGATACTAAACTGCATGCTGCATCTATTACAACAGCATGGCTTTGCTGTCGAAGAGTCCAGGTGCTGAACTGGTCTGCCTGTAGAAAACATTAGTAAGGTGGAGTAAGTAAGCCGTGAGGTTCAGCAGCTATATATATCTGATATCAGACGAGAATGGGAATAGATTTCTCTCACAGAAGTTGGCAGCTCAAATTTTTAGAGACGTGTTGCTGGCGTCAATTTCAATTTCAGGTTTCATTGTTCTATTGTGAATAAATCCAAGTTCATGAGATTTGCATTGTGCTTAGGGCTGGGCTATATCATACCGTTCACAGTAATACCGGTGTAATGTTGGGCAATGATAGGAAAATGAAATATTGCGATAGAATATGGGTAAAACGCGCATGCGCAGTGCCTTTGTTTACATACGCACATGGCGGCGACGCAGAATGAGAAGAGCGAAAGTGGATCGTTAAATGAAACAGATGAACCAGAACTGGTTTGTAAAAATGCTGCAACTTCAGTGGTGTGGAACTGGTTTGGCTTTCATCCGTCAGATACACAACAAAGCACTATTTTTGGTAGAGCGTGCTAGCGGGCCGTCGTTATTACAGTGTTTGGAAAATATGGCACACTTAAAATCAATCCTTTGATTTTTCTGAAAATCAACAGCGCCCCTTATAATCCCGTGTGCCTTATGTATGAATTCTGGTTGTGTTTACTGACCTCGAAACAATTTTATGTCGTACACGGCGCTCGAAAATCTGTCAAATGTTTTAGTACGACTTTGCTAAGCTACGAACCCGCACCGCTTGATGGATTGTCGGAGCATTACGGCTATCGTAGGCAGGAGCCTCGCGGAGTGATACGTACTGTGCTTCAACATAATATTACCGTATTGCGTGTGTATAACCTTTTTTTTAAGTTTTGTGGATATTATACATGGTTATGCTGAGGATATGTCGGCCAATTTCCACTGGAAATGCCTTTTGGTTAAACTGTCAGCAAAGAATTTGCATTTGCACTGTTACATTTTTATATAACTTTAATGCACTTAAAACAGCTGCTTGTTTAAGTGAAAATACATTGATGTTTTGTTTCGGGGTTTTTTGCACTAATAAAGTTGTGGAGTTGTAAAGTTTTTTTGTCTAGTTTTTTGTCAGTTATATCGTTAACGCAAATTTTCAAATGTATATCGTGATAAATATTTTTGGTCGCATCGCCCTGCTCTACTTGTGCTTTTATTTATAGTTTAAACAGTTGTATTTGTAAACATTTGTTTCAATACATGAAATATAACTAAAGTCTGTCATTATATTAGATTGCAGCACTAATATAGTGTTTGCAGGAGTTCAGCCTTTGCTCTTCCTGTGTGTCATTTTATTTATTAATTTATTTATAACTTTATGGCAGCGTGGTGATACGGATATAAACACAACCAACTTTGGAGAAAGCTGCTAGATTTTCTGTAGGCTGAGAAAACGGGTCAGATCCCTGCATGAGAGTCTCGAGAAGGAGGCATATAAAAGGTTGACTCCACCTAGGGGACGAACACACATGAATGCACCTATAAACAGGGCTCTGTTCTAAGCTAGGCCTGTTCAGGTATTCACTGTGTGTGTGTGTGTGTGTGTGTGTGTGTGTGTGTGTGTACATGTTACACTGGGTATGCATTGTTAGCATCTGTAGTCATCTTCGTAGTTGTAATGGGACAGCTGCTCCCGTCATGCTGTAGGCAGTATAATTTCTTGGTCAGCCTCCATTGCCGTGTCCCTTGCAGCAACAAGCAGACATGAGAGGGAGCAAGGAAGATGCAGAAAGAGGTGGAAGGTAGAGGGGCAAGGAGTCATGCTGAAGGGGAGATACTGTATACTGAGTAAGAAATGTTGAATTTAATGCAGTTAAAATACAACTTTGAGTGGAGAGGGATAAGAAAGTGGAAAAAATAATAATCAAGAGCTAGATGAGGAGGCGCCCGTGTGACTGTGTCATCCCAATCTTTTTTAATATATCTGCACTAAATGTCCCTTAATATTCTCAAAACTCTTAGCACATTAATTTTCCCTTTTTTTTTTCTTTTTTTTTCTTGCAGCACTATTTTCTCAGCACTCCTCGTGGTTAAGCTTATAAGGGTGCTAATAAATTTTAGGAATATTATGTAAATTTTATTCTGTGGCTTTTTGGTAATCCATAATCATAGATGAGCAGCTTTCAGTCTTTTGACGCTGATAATGGCGAGCAGTTAATTGCAAGCAAAAACGAAAAAGTCACATGTAGGAGATACTGTGCTGCATGTATGTGCACTGGAATAGAGAGGCTGTCTCCTTTTGAATGCCAGCGAACACTAATGAGCTCTGTTAGGCATTATGAAGTGAACTAGGGAGAGGGAGGAGCTAGGGGTGTGTGGGTGTGTGTGGGTGTGTGTGTGGGTGTGTGTGTGGTGGGTATTCTGTCAAATTCTATGACTGCACCTAATTTTGTGGCAGTTGCATGCTGCATTGCTGTTTTGTTTTTAAAGTCTCTTTGTATCAGTGTTTTGCTGTCTCAGAGGACTTCACTCGAATAATTGTTGGAGTCTAAATTTGTGCTCATAACAGTAATAATCGTATAAATACAGCCTGTTTATTCAGCACAGCAGCATGACTGATGACTCAGAGGGCTATGACGGCAACCTGAGTGGCATGAAATTTGCACGTACATGCATGCAGACACTACAGAGGCACGAATTCGCACTTTTCAGGGACACAGGCACGCACACACAGGCACACACGCTGGATGCTGAAGGTTATAATCAGTGTTTGTTTTGGGCGGAAGTTTAAATTAGTAGTCGTGCTCACTGTTTACGCTTGTGGCGTCACTGGCAGGTGTCATAGGAGAGAACATGTCAATTTCAGTTAATAGTTTTCACTACCTCCCTTTGTTCTTGCTCTTTTTTTCTTCCAAATTTCCCCTGGTCCTCGAATTCATCTCTGCCTCACTATTTGCTTGTCTCCCAA